AGAAAGAAGGCCAGGAAAGGGTCGGGATGGCCCTAGAGAGAGGGCTGCGGTGGGAAGCCCTTCCAGGAGGCTCGGGGGCCTCTGCACCGGGAGGAAGAGAGGAGGCAGCTGGGTGCCCAGCCCGGGGTGGTGGGCCCGGCCCGTGCTTGTTTGCACGGGGGTGGGGGGGGCAGACCACCCCGCCGCTGTGAGTTGAGCAGCAGTCTGCCTTCTGCGCAGGGGTGAACAGGACTAGAGAAGCCGTCACCGGTGACTCATCCCCAAGTCAGACTTGGTGCTGCTTCACTCCAGACTGGAACCCCTCTTCTGGGCCCTGTCCCTGACTTCTCTGACTACGTCCACGTCAGTAATAGTGCCTGCATAACAGTAACGGGGCCCCTGGCGCGATATTCTGTTCCTTCCGCGGGTCCTGCTTTTGGATCCAACGCACTGTGTGGTCCCCAAGCCCCGGGGTAAGGACTCAGCTACGTAAATATTTTGTTTTTCTTCTTTTTTCTTTTTTTCTCCTCTTCTGTGTCATTTGATCCCCATCCCCTCTCTGTTTTTCGTTTAGTGCTGTGGATATGTATAACTTCTAATCCCAAATTCCAGATCGCTGGGTTTTCTGTGGGACCTGAGTTCACTTTTTAACTCTGGTCTCCCTCCTCCGAACGCCCCGCAGAGGGTTCTAGGCTACTTACTGTCCTGTTTAGAGATCAGTTTTCTATTTTCCAGAATGACAGTCAGTTTATGTCATTGCTTCATTGGCGACCTGTGTGCCGGGTCCTGGACTTGGCAAAGCACTCGTACAAGTAAACCAGACAGAGGAAGTTACTAATCCTGTAACTGAGCAGGACCCTGGGGGACCTTCCAGGGACAGACCCTCCCCGTGTCCTCTGCGGCAGCCTCTCTGAAGCACCCAGATAATAGTATCTCGTGCACATTTCCTGAGTGTTTCAGATGCTAAAACCCACCACCAAAGGGAAGACATTAACTACATGATGGTGGAGAGCACGTGGCCCCCAGACCTTCTAGGGTGTTGACCTCCCTGTTCCCTTGACATCAGCCAATCAGAGGACTGTGCACGAGCTGGTCACACACCCTGAGACTCCCCCTCCCTGACCTGGCCTTTAAATACGCTTTGCTGATCCCTTCAGAGAGTTCGGGGTTTTCTTGGGCACGAGCCACCCCATCCTCCTTGCTCGGCCCTGCCATAAGCCCTTCTCTGCTCCACACTCCGTTTCGGTTTCTTTGGCCCCTCGGTGCATCGGGCCCAGGAACTCGCCTTCGGTAACAGGCCCACGAAGTTTACAGTCTAATGGGAGAAACAGATGAACGGCCGGTAAGCAGATCATGTACCTAAACTCTTTCTCAATTTTCTTAGTATTTTAGCGGGGGAAGTCTAGAGTCATTTTTCTTTTCTCTTTTCTTTTTTCTTTTCTTTTTGTTTCATTTTCATGAGAGCTTGGAAGTCAGGGGGCAGCTACAGCCAAATCTGACTGTGGGACGTAGGGCGAGTGTGTGTGTGTGTGTGTGTGTGTGTGTGTGTCCTTGCAAATTTGTAAAGCTCTCTGTGCTTTAGTAAGATCAGCCGCCTCCTTTATTTCCGCGTCCCTTGTACCTAGCAGCCATATTTTGCTGTCTCCATGTAGATGTGACGATGGCAGGAAAAGTGCGGAAGCTGCTTTAACTCTCTTCCCCTTTGGGCAGGGACTTTTTCTGAAATGACCTAGCAGGCTGTGTCTCTTCTGTGTTGTGCGATTTCTCGAGCGGTACGGCTTTCCTCTTTGAATTCAGTGGATTGGTTTAGAAGCCTATGTTTTTCAAACAGAGTGGCTAATTCATTGGGAATGAAGCAGATTTGCCTTAACTGAGAATCCTTGGTCCTACTTCAGGTTTACCACCAGCAAATTGTTGCAAAACTTGTCCCAAAGTTAGGCTGATCCACAGAATTTCGTGGAAATCTGAAAGCGCAGGATCTTGGGTATTTAATTGGAAAGATTTTGATTAACAAAATCAAATTTGTATTTCCAGAGCTTGTCTATAATTTTGAAAATGCTTATTAAAAATGCAGATTTCCTGAGAGCTTGGGATTTGCAGGTACTCACTACTATGTATAAAACAGATAAACAGCAAGGTCGTCCTGTCTAGCACAGGGAACTATAGTCACTATCTTGTAATGGCCTATAAGGAAAAGGAATAGGAAAAGGAATATATATATGTGTGTAACTGAATCACTGTGCTGTACAGCAGAAATTAGCACCACTTGTAAGCTAACTATACCTCAATAAAAACAATAAAAATAATTTTAAAAATTTTTAAAAGGGAATCAGGCTAAAAAAGACCTTCCAACTTACTCCAGAACTACGGAATGGAATTTCCCGGTCGAGGGACCCAGGGATCTTCATTTGTAACAATTACCTCACATTGACAGTTTCCAGCCTGGACTCATTGAGCCGAAGGCTCTCCTGGGTACCTGCTCGCTTCCAGCCACCATTTACCATCATTTCGCCGGCCACCCCCGGGGACTCAGTTCACCTGAAAGCCCCCGTCAGCAGCCTGTCACCACAGCCCTGCAGTGTCAGGGACGTGGGCTTGGGAGCAAGATGCAGCGCCCCCGGTTCTGCGAGCAGGCAGGGGCGAGCGACTGGGAAGCCCTCTCGGCCGCCACGCCAGGCCTCCGAGGAGGTCAGGAGCCTGGGATGGAGGTGGAGCCTCGCCCGGGACGTTCTCAGCTTTGACGCTTCACCCGCCTTCCTCTGCGGGCGAGGACTTCGCATCGTCGGGAGGATCCGGGGCAGCGGGGGTGCGCACACAGCCGAGGACGCGCGAGACGCTGGGGTTGCGGTCCAGGCAAGGATTTTGGCTGCGTGGACGTCCTTTCGGTTCTGTTTT